GGGTCTACGTGTAGGGTATATATCTTAAGCGTCTGCGTACAAATAATCATAGAAATTGGAGAGGACGGCTCACGGCAGAGTATCTCAGGGATTTTCTTTTTCTTCTCTTCAATTTATCATGAAAATACAGCGTAGATTATTATGGACGTGTTTGATAAAGATTAAAATTGAAAAAATAGTCGTTATTATTAACTTTTATTAGACGAATGGAATCTAATAACGACTATATTTGAATTTTAATTTTTACCAAACGAGCACTAGATCTCTTAGACCCTCACCCTGTTTGATTGCCAAATTTTTCATGAAAAATGTCACTTTGGAGGAAAATTAATTTTATTTTGGCAGTTTGATTACAACGTGAAAGTGGAAATCGAATTATAACGTACAACCACTTTAAGCTGCACTTTCTTTGTTTTCATAGAAAACGAATTCATATGGATTTGGTGGATTTTTATGTTCCAACAACATGGAATTGGAATTCATTTCCATATTTGCCTATCAAACAGACCCTAAATCTTTGTTTGGTAGCCTTGAAATTTTAAAAACAGTATTTTTTAAAGAATGTGTGGTTAAAAAGTGAGAAAAATTTGAATTTACATATCAAATATTTTATTATATGAATGTATAATTAAAAATAAGTACGAGAAAAGTAAATTAGAGAAATCAAATAAGGGTGTTTGATGTACATTTTTTAGAAAAAAAAATGTATTTTATGATGTGATATGATGACAAATATGTGATTAAAAAAAAGAAAAAAAATATGAATTTGAGTGTAATATTATTTTATTAAAGAATATATAGTTGAAAATGAATTTTGAAAGAATAATTTTAAAAAGGACGTGGATCAAACGGACACTTAGGCCTTGTTTGAGCCACATTTTTTGTAAAATAAAAATAAAAAATATAGTTATTATTGGGACCCATATAAGAGATAGAAAATTTAAATTTAAATTTTACTGTGATGGATAACGGTCATATTTTTCATTTTAATGAGATAATAATGTAGCTCAAACCGCAGCTTATACACAATANTTTAAATTTAAATGTTGATATAATGAATAACGATCATATTTTTTCTTTTAATAAGAAAATAAGATGGTTCATTTTAATGAGAAAATAAGGTAGTCCAAACAGGACTTCATTTCAAAAAAACAAAGATTTAAAGAAAAGAGAAATAAAGATTCTTGATTGGACTTGTTATGTCCAAATGGATGTACTGGTTTAATTTTTAATGAAAATATTTTATATCCTTCGCGTAGACCTTTTGCTCAGACTCAGTGTCGAGTCTCTTCAAAACCCTGCACCCCCTGATCCTGCCACCCCTCTTTTTCTCAATTAAGCCCTTGAGCCCCATTTCTAATGAAAAAATATATATTTTAATTAGTGACTTTCGATAAATGAGTGATTAAAAAATAAAAAATAAATTTATTTACGTATAAAATTATATTATTGAAAAATATATAATTAAAAATATTTTTTAATAAAATGTGATTCAAATAAGGACTATATTTTCAAAAGCGACCCTACATGGTCAATCTTGAATAAAGCTTTTAGTCTTGATTTGACAAGTAAAACAATATTAAAGTATCATTCAAATATTTATCTTTATCGCACGATACTAACTTGAAGTAATTTTTTCTAAATTTATTAAATTAACGTGTTTTATGAACTAATTTAGCGCTTTTCTTCCCCTATTTGGCTATTTATCACTTTTCAGACAATTATACAGTGCATTCGGAGAAGCTGAATATGTTGACCATGAAATACCAGCCACAATTGTTGCATTCATTCATTCTACAAAATGTGAAATGACTTATGTGTCATTTAACATTACATTCATTCTATTCGTAGTATGGCATTTACGGTAATTCAAATATTTAAAAAAATATATGGCTATAGGGTTTTTTTTGTCAACAATTTGCAGTTGATATTTTAGAGTCAACGTATGCAACTTCTTCCATGTACTGTGCAGCAATCTGAAAAGCGATAAAAATTGAAAGAAAAGCACAACGGGGGGCTTAGCCTAAGCTATCATATCATGTGAAGTGATGACTTCTAAAAATGTTCAACAAAAGTATCAAGCTCGAGATGGATGCATATGCGTCTCCAACACTGCGAGATGGATGCATATGCGTCTCCAACACTTCTCAACTATGAACCATAACCAATGTCAACAAAAGATGCGAGAGA